AATGTATGTCTCAGCTATCTCAGAAAGGAAAGAGCTTTGCAAACTCCTACAAATATCAGCTCCCACTGACTAGTAACTGGTACCAGTTAGTAAACTCATACCCTAATCCTAAATTGAAAAGAAAAGCTGTAGTTAACATGAAATATACTTCTTGCTCCTTCCCAGTATGAACCCTGAAAAAGCTGTTCAAGCAACAACACATATTCATAACAAATTACCATAAAAGAACTAGCAAAAGTCCACATAAAGGTACAAGATTAGAAAGCTATATAGAAGTATAAAAAGTTATATCAGAAACAAAAACTATTATTCCACAATGCCATAAGGAAGCCTTTGCATGCAATTTTACAAACAAAAAAATAAAAAACATAAAACTATATATAAGCAGATCATAGCAAACAGTTAAAAATGAAATTAATACTTTTTCTGTATAACACTTAATAAATTCCATACTTTTATCTAGTAAGACTCAAATTCATACTTTTGGTAACTAAAATATCCTCAAGTAAAAACACATTAAAAACCATAAGGAGCTGGGTGGGGTGGCACACGCCTTTAATCCCAGCACTCTGGAGGCAAACTCTGGAGGCAAAGGCAGGCGGAGCTTTGTGAGCTCAAGGCCAGCGTGGTCTACAGAGCGAGATCCAGGAAAGGTGCAAAGCTACACAGAGAAACCCTGTCTGGGGGAAAAAAAAAAAAAAAAACCCTAAGGAAGTGATTAATCTTTTAGTTGAAAAACCTAAGAATAACTACCAAAGTAAAGAGCAACACAATATATATATCAAGATAAAAACACTAAATTCTCATCATTTATGAATTAAAATTTATCTATAAAGACACTGGTAAAAAAGTAAACAGCAGAGTCCGAGTTAAAGGACAAGCCATGTGAGCCAAAGCACGACACATTCCAAAGTAAAATATTAAAACAGGCAGTCTCATATAACACTGTTTATAGGACACTTTGTTCTAACATCACTCCTATGTTTAATACTGAAGATTACACAAAATAAGTAAAGATTCAGGAGAGGGGAAAAAAAGCATCCCAAGGCAAATGTGTGTGCTGGGCAGTTCCCACAGAGATGGTTCTATGAAATCACATTTAGGTTGGATTCAAGCCTCTAATTTATCAAACATTTTAAATATAAGGAAAAAAAAGTTTATTTCCTAAATAGTAAAGTACAAAGACAACTAGCCAAACTAGTGGAAACGCATGAACTGTGGACCAGTAGCTGAGGAGCTCCCATGGTACTGGACTGGGCCCTCTGGATAGGCAAGACAGTTGTTTGACTTGAACTGTATAGGGGGCCCCCAGGCAGTGGGATTAGAACCTGTCCCTAGTGCATGAGCTGGCTTTCTGGAGCCCAGTGCCTATGGTGAGGCACTTTGTGCAGCCTTGGTACAGGGAGAAGGGGTTTGGACCTGCCTCAACTGAATGTACCAGGCTCTGCTGACTCCCCATGAGAGACCCTGCCTTGGAGGAGGTGAGAATGGGAACTGTGTTGCGGGGGAAGACTGGGCGGCAGGAGGAGGAAGGACAGGGGAATCTGTGGTTGGTATGCAAAATGAACAGAAAAATCTCTTAATAAAAAAAATCTATTTAAAAAAAAGAAAATGAAAGAAATGCTTAAATAAAATAGTAAAAGACCAAATCTGAAAATATGAGAACCCTTTTTACTAGAATTAATCATTTCCATTTTCTAATTACAGAAACAGAAACCATAAATAATCATATGAGAAAATGCTCTCACTATATCTCTAAAATAATTAGAACATGCAAATTAAACCTATAGTGAGATACCTTAGTGGTAACTAAACCCTACAAAGAATAACTTAAATTTAAAAGTTAGTGATACCAAGTATTGAGGATACGAGACAACTAAACTCTAAACTATTAATGAAAGGAATGGAAAGTGGTAGAGCAGCTTATAAAATTTCCAAATTGTTCTGTAGAGGTAAGCATATACTTAAGCACATCTAGAAATATGAAAACATAATCACATAAAACTGAATGCAAATATTCATACCAGATATATATATTCACCAAACACTGACAACAATTCAAATGGGTAAACAATAGTACATCCATATAATGGAATACAGTACTATCCATCAATAAAAAGGAACAGACCATCAATACATGTAACAATACAGATGAATTCTAAAAACATTATACTGTTTGTTTGTTTTTTTTAAAGTCATCTCAAAGGTTACATAGTACATTGTTTCATATATTTATGACATTCTGTGAAATGTGAAATAGGGGAATGTGAACAGATCAATAGCTGTCAGGGGTTAGGGATGAAAAATTAAAATTGGCACAAAGCCTAGTATGGTAGCCACATGCCTTTATCCTAAAAATTGGGAGGCAGAGTAAGGAAGATCCCCTCCAGTTCAAGGCCACAGCATGAACTACATAGGAAGATCCTGAAAACAAAACAAAGTAGGAAGATGGAATTTGTGGGTGATGGAATGATTTTGTAGCCTCACTGACTATCAAATTCTTAGAAATTGGGGCTGAGGAGATGACTTAGCAGCTAAGAGTGCTTGTTATACAAGCATCAGGCCCTGAGTTCAAATTCCCAGCACCTACATGAAACCCTAGACATGGCCTTGAACCTATAACCTCAGGGCTATAGGGACAGAAACAGAAGGATTAAGGTTCAGTAAGACAAATAGGTGACAAGGGAATAATTTAGAAGGTGACAGAGCAGGAAACTAATGTCTTCCTCTATCTATGCACACAGGTTCTCACATGTTGGGAACACATACACACACACACACACACACACACACACACACGCACACCTACCTACCTACCTACCTCAAAGTTGAATTTTATGACACATAAAATTTTTATTATTTTTTTTTCCGGAGCTGAGAACCGAACCCAGGGCCTTGCGCTTGCTAGGCAAGTGCTCTACCACTGAGCTAACTCCCCAACCCTGACACATAAAATAAATATTTATGCATTCACAAACAAAAAACTACTTCCAAAGATATTTCATTTTAGTCTCATGTGAATCACAAAATCTAGACAGATACAATACTCTCATTTTATAAATGAAGCAACAAGCATGCAATAAAAAATACAAGTTATATGTGGTAGAACCAAAGCTACAGTCTAGATATACTAATTCTACTTCAACAACATCCTCTGAATTTCCTCATGTCTCAATCAATTGGAGTCAAGCAGTCAATCAAAAATGTCACTAAAAAACCAACAGAACCAAAAAGAAATAGGGAATAAAAATTTAAAAAGTTGTTATTAGCAATATACAACTTAGGATTTGGCTGTGATCCTTAAGGAATTAAAAGTTCCACAATGAAGAAGTCTGACTCATGATCCACAAGCAAAAAATGATTATTTCCTCCATAGAACCTTAATCTTTAATACTAAAAAAAAAAAAAAAAAGAAAGAAAGAAACAAGATCGGGCAGTGGTGGCGCACACCTTTAATCCCAGCATTTGGGAGGCAGAGTCAGGCAGATCTCTGTGAGTTCGAGGCCAGCCTGGTCTACAGAGAGAGATCTAGGACAGGCACCAAAACAACACAGAGAAACCCTGTCTCGAAAAAAAAATCAAAACAAACAAACAAAACAAAAAGAAACAAGATTTTAGCAGATAACCTTGCAATGATTGCTCCAAGTCAAGCACTACTGGTCTTTAGCACTGCCCTGGACAACAGGGCAGCTTCAATTCACAATGGGTTTTGCAGCTTTAAATATAACATTTTCAAGTTATATACTACCACCACCCAAGAGTAGAAAAACAAATGTGAAATCTTTAAAAATAGCTTTTCAGTTTCAGAATCAAAGGAAAGGGGTATAATACTTGCAAAAAAAATTCTGTAACAGTTTCACAAAGAAAAGTATTTTTAAATGTACATCTGTATCAAAAATAGCATACATCACCTAAAAACAATGGTGTGGTTTCCTCTAAAGTGGTTGCATTAGGATCTGCTCCAGCTTCCAAAAGAATCTGTGTGATTTTCCAGTGTCCTTGACTCACAGCAAGATGTAATGCACAGAAGCCCTCAAAAGTCTTTGTCTTAATGTAGTTTTCAGATGAATCTGTGGAAGAAGGGAAACACGTTAGCCGGAAGGTTATCAGTTCTACTTACTGAGTGTGAAAAACAAAAACTATATGAGGAATTGAATGAAATACTAAACTACTAAATACTCAAGTGTTACCAAGGAACAGCTCTGTGAGGACAGCTCCACTGTGAATAGTCTTTTGGTACTCTTGCCAGAGAAACTATGCTCATACACTGTCACCACTCTAGAGGCAGTGAGACTAACAGAATGGAGCTGAAAAATGACGCAAACTAAAGTCTTATGCAACAGCCAACTTTATTCAAAGCATCACACAACTTATACTCTGAGGGTTAAGAAGAGTTACATGAATAAAGTGTAAAATCACAAGGACAAACCAAACATGGCAAAAACATATTTTTCCTAAGGGCAATAGCCATTTGTAATGAATAATCTGAAGTAAACTCAGTCCTATCTGCTACAGCTGAGAGGAGCATTAAAATACACTGCAAGAACAATTTTATGTTCTGAAGAAACTGACATCACAGGACTCGTCTTTTTTTTTTTTTTTTTTTTGGAGTTGTCTCACAAGCATTCTGAATTCTCCTCACACAACCCCATTCTTGAACCATGTTCTGACAACTCACTTCAGGTTTTCCTACTCCAACTTGTAACAAGGGTTGAAAAGCAAGATTTGAGGCAGATGCAGCACCAAATATTTACTTAGGCAAGCCCTACCGAAATATTAATAAACCTGATTTTATTTCCAAACTCATTTCCAAATTTCTTTTTTTTTTTTTTTTTTTTTTCAAGACAGGGTTTCTCTGTATAGCTTTGCACCTTTCCTGGAACTCACTCTGTAGCCCAGGCTGGCCTTGAACTCACAGAGATCTACCTGCCTCTGCCTCCCGAGTGCTGGGATTAAAGGCGCGTGCCACCACCCACCTATTTCCAAATTTCTATGAGGAAAATCTCTAGCATTACTTCCTTATATCCAACTAATATCAAGGTAATTCTGAATACTTCTTTTCATTCTTTATGCATGTGCACGTGTGCACATATGTGGAAAGGGAAGTAAATGTGCACATGGAATATCTTTCAGAGGCCAGAGGATGTCCTCATTTTGTCCTCAGGACTACCATCCACCTCCTCTGAAAAAGGAGCGCCACAGTTAGGCTAGACAGGCTGCCCAGGAATCCCACAGAGTCTTCTGCCTCTCCCTCTGAAATCCTACCGTGCCCATAACTTTTACCTCAGTGCTGGGACTCATGCAAACACTTTACCAGCTGTCTTCCCATCACTTAAAAAGTCCTTGTTGGGAGGATAGCATGAAGGTTCTTGTATATACAGATCTCCAGAGAAACCAGAAATGTTAAACACACAGGATTGTCTTTTCAACAGGAAGGATGAAAAACCTGTTTTCCGTCCAGAAAGCTGAGAATTGGGAGTGATAAACACCCTCGAGATCTATATTATCTGTTGGGCCAGGCCATATCAAGCTCTTACAACCAAGACCAGAAGTGGCTAGTAATCTAAATGACCCTTATAGCCAAAGGCTCCCCCAAGTTCCCACAACCAGGACCAGAGGTAGCTAGTAGCCCAAATGACCTCTACACTATCTGTATGACCAAGAACAAACCAGAACCCTAGGTCCTTAAGCTAGTACAGGTAGTCTATTTCTAGAATCCATTTCCGTGAAGAAATGACATGTAACCTGAATCAAGTTTAAATATAATTATGCTTCCTTGTACAACAAAAATGTATTGTACCAAGAAACTTTTTTTTTTTATCAAATTGTACCGAACTTAAATATATTGGGAATAAACTTCCTGTTATTTAGACTCCCCAAAATCTGATGCAGGTTGACAAAGTCAACCTGCATCAGGTTTTCATTCGTTTTGTTTGTTTGTTTGTTTGTTTGAGCTGAAGATTGAACTCAGGGCCTTGTGCTTGCTAGGCAAGTGCTCTACCTCTGAGCTAAATCCCCAACCCTAGGTTTTCATTCTTATCACTACATGTGGTTCGCCTCCCTGTATGACACTGCAGGGACCCCCTTAAGTCCTTTACTACCTTAATACCATAGTTTAATAGTTAATGAAAACTGAACTTATAAAAGAAAGAAAAAGAGTTCAAAGAAGGGAGCTGGAGAGATGGCTCAGAGGTTAAGAGCACTGGCTGTTCTTCCGGAGGTCATGAGTTCAATTCCCAGCAACCACATGGTGGCTCACAACCATCTATGAAATCTAGTGCCCTCTTCTGGTGTGCAGACAGAACACTGTATACATAATAAATAAATATCTTTAAAAAAAAAAAAGAGTTCAAAGAAACCAAACAATACAATTCACAAGAAATTTCAGAGTTAAGGTAAAAATTCTGATGAAAAACTGAGGCTTCTGGTAACACTTAAATTATGTAAATAATGTTTATAGTAAAGTATTTTTTTTTTTTTTTTTGGTTTTTTCGAGACAGGGTTTCTCTGTGTAGCTTTGCGCCTTTCCTGGGACTAACTTGGTAGCCCAGGCTGGCCTCGAACTCACAGAGATCCGCCTGGCTCTGCCTCCCAAGTGCTGGGATTAAAGGCGTGCGCCACCACCGCCCGGCTATAGTAAAGTATTTTTAAAAGCACAGAATAACTCCAAGAGGTTCTTCTTACCTCTGCTTCTATATACAAAATAATTCTAAGCACAAAAGATTAAAAAGCAAATGATAAAGGCACTTCTGAAAGGAGGAATAAGCAAAACAAAGGACTTCTAAAACCATGTTCTTGAATTAATAGAATTGAAACTAACTCTCCTGACAAAACTAGTCATCTATTTTAAGTAATTCTTATAATTGTAACTCACTGATGGAACAGGCAGTCTAAGCCTGAATATCCAAAACACAGTTGTAAGTACTCACAAAAGTACCCTCACACATCACAGGATACACAACAAATAAGTATACAGTCACTCACTTTAAAAGTGCCTTATCACAGTGTTCCAGAGGTGATTAGAATTAGATCCTTAATCTGGTCAATTAACAGAGAGATTCATCAGTACTTCAGGTAATAACCTTATAGATTTATGTATATAAATGACATGAGAAACTACAAAGACTGTACATAATTGATAATGGTAGAGTTCCTCAATGTAAAATTTTAAGATTACACAGATAACAGCGACTTCCCTTCTGGTCCAGAGGTGAGTACCCGGGTCCAACCCGGACCCCATCCCTGGGCACCAGCCACTCCGGGAAGACCTGCCCAACTTGGCA